TGTTAGCAGCACAGAATGCCTCCTGCAAAAGAAATGGCTGAACTTCTTAACACCGAACACAATGCCCAATCCTTTCTTTCCACTTGTGCTTACAACTTTCTTCTGTTGTGGTTACTGACCACGATGCAAATGCAATGGACTGCTTATCTCAATTCAGCAAGATGTGTATCAGTACAGCACCAACCCGACAAAGTGAGGATTTGCACACCAACTGCAGAATAAACTTTGGGTTGAAATGAGTCAACACTTCCAACCTTTTAAGAGTTTGCTTCACCTCCCAGTAAGACTTCTCACATTCCTAGGTCTATTTCCATGGTCAGCCTTTTCTCAATGAATATGTAAGGGTTTTAGCATTGTTGTCAGATCAGACATTAACTTACAATAATAATTCACAACTCTCAAGAATGATCTCACCTGAAACACGCTCTCTGGTCTAGGTGCCTTCATGATAAGCTCCATCTTCATGGATGCCATGTGTCGTCCCTCACCATTGATTACACCGCCCAGGTACTCTATGGGGTCTTTAAAAAACTTGCATTTCTCCCTTTTGACGTGTAAGCCATATTCTTGCATCCTTTTTAGGTTTTCTTCTAGACTTTTCAAATGGTCCTCTTTGGAGGATTCAGTGACTACAATATTATCCAGATAACACTGGACACCTGGTAATCACTTCAAATTTGGTCCATGGCCTCTGGATTTGAGCTGGTGCTGATGTGATGCAGAAATGCAATCACTTTTAGCAGAACAGTCCCACATGTGTGACTGGCAGCTGGGACTCATTCTCGAACCCCATCTGCAAGTAGGCCTGCGACAGATTTATTTTTGAGAATTTCTTTCCCCCAGCCAGTCTACTGCATAGGTCCTCAACGTGTGGAAGTGGGTATTGATCCACACTCAAGGCTGAGTTGACTGTGGCCTTAAAGTCACCACAAATCCTTACTGTGCTATCTGTTTTAAAAACAGAAACAATTGGAGTGGTTACTGATTCCAACGCTCCCAGGTTCACCAGTCATTCCAATTCTGCCTTCACTTTAAACCGGTGGCAAACAGTACTGGACGTGCTTTCAGACTCCTTGAACTAGCCTCCCTCTTCAACCTAAGTTTAATTTCTACTCCTTTCATTACCCGCGTAGTTTCCTTTATACATCCTAATACTTGCCCAAAATCTCTTGCAAACTCGTTTCTCAGTCCACCAGCCTATTAACCATGGCTCAATTTAATTTCTGTAACCAGGAACATATGAAATAATGCAGGTTAGTTGCCATTCATTACGTATGGAGGCAGTTCGACACACTGGTCCCTTAGCTATACTTTTACCAGAACACAGACCTTCAGTGGCGTCACTTGTTCTACATATGCCTGTAGAGTAATCTTGGCAGGGTTCAATGGCAATGCCTTTAACCTTTCCCTATATACTGATTCAGGAATCAGAGTCACCACTGCATCGGTATCCACTTCCATCTTTATTTTCTTACCCTCTAATTTGGGAAGAACCCAGAAATGATCAGCTTCACCCCACACGAACAGGATGTTTAACCAAAATTCTGCTGACCCTGGCCCTTCTGATTCTCCCGCAGACCTGGCTGTCTCACAGTCTATTCCCTGCCTGGTGGCATGTACCTTATACCTTGTCCTTTGAGTTGTCTCCTTTGGACACCCCTTCTCTTGCTTGAGTTGTATCCAGAAATTTTGGGCAATATGGCCCACTTGATGACACCTGCGGCACCGGGCTTCTCGAATCCAACATATTGACTCCTTGTGGCCACTCTTGCCACATTGGCAGCATCCTACAGTTGATACCGCACTCTGCTGAGTTTCTGCTACTCTATGTATTGGGCATGATCACTGAACTGCATTGCTTTGCTGGTGGCCAAGTCCAATAAGGTAGTAATTTCAAAAGCTGTCATGAAACCCAGGTCTCCCCTTGTTAGTCGCTTCTGTTGGATGGCTTCTTGTTGGAAGCCACAAATCAAATGGTCCCACAAGTCATCTTGGAGGAATCTCTGAATTTGCAATGTTCTACCAAACTGTTTAGGGCAGCCACAAATTGGGCTATGGACTCTCCTTTGTGTTGTACCTTTTTATAAAAACAAAAACGTTCTGTAATCATCACTGACTTTGGTGGAAAATAGCTCCCCAACACTTTGCATAGTTCTTGGTGTGACTTCTCTGCAGGTTTTTCTGGTTGCACCAGAATCCTTAGAATTGCAAAGGTCTTGCTCCTAACAGTACTCAAGAAACACAGTAAAATGTCTTCAGCCACCTTATTCACCTTTAAAAATTCATCAAAATGTTCAGTGCACAGCATCCAACAATCTGTCTCTTTATCAAATGGTCCTACCACTCCAAATGGCTGCCATTTTGTTTTCCCACCAGTGAACGTTTTTCCCTCAGCTCAAATCTAGTAGCCATTTGCAGCCTGAATCTCCTCAGTGAACAGCTTTACATCAGCCGCTCTATCAACATATGTGTCAATGCACTGTTCTCTGGCAACGCCTGGGGCCCCGAGTCCTCTTGTGACGACTTCAGTAAGCTCCCGGTTCAGTACTCCCCTCTTCAAATGGCATTATGGGTCAACCTACAGCACATGGACGAAAGTGGTTCAAGAAGGCAGCTCACCACCATCTTCTCAAGGGCACATGGGGTTGGGCAATAAACACAGGCCAGAAAGTGATGTCCATGTCCCATGAGTGAATAAAAAGAACAAAGGCTAGTTACTTGAGTCTTTGAAGACCTACAGGCATTATCGTGGACGTTCCCAGATGGAGTATACTAATCCTGAAAGTGTATTAAGTCATTTCACCATATCTTCGTGGAAATGTACAACATTCGTGACATTGTGATGATGTAACTGAACTAGTAATCCACAGGTCCAAGTTAACTTGTGAGGGCAAGAGTTCAAATCCACCCTCTTCCATTGGGCAGAAGATACAAAAGTTTGAAATCACGTACCAACAGATTTAAGAACAGCTTCTTCCCTGTTATCTTACTTATGGACAGACCTCTCATATATTAGAGTTGATCTTTCTCTGCACTTTGTAGCTGTAACACTATATTCTGCATTCTGTTGTATTACCTTGATGTACTTATGTAAGGTTTGATTTATCTGGATAGCATGCAAAACAATACTTTATATTGTATTTTGGTGCAAGTGACAATTCATCAAATCAAATATTTAGTTAATAAATCTAACACATAAAGCTGGTATCAGGCAAAATATGGGAATAGGCCATTTGGCTCTTTAATGGCGACAACGATCAGCTACCTAGTAAAAACCCATCTGGCTCATGAATGACATTTGAGAAATTTAGCATCCTTTCCCTGACTGGTCTACATACCACTTTAGCTCCACATAATATGTTGACTCTTAACTACTCTCTGAAATGGTCTAACAATCCACTCTGTTCAAGGTTCACTTAAGGACAAGCATCAAATGGTGGCCTTATCAATGACCATACCAAAAAAAAAATTGACATAAGCTGCATTTTTACAGGTTGATAAATTTCAGAGGTGTTTCTGAAATTGCCCAAGAGGTAAAAATGCATGAGGGAAGCTTTTGAAATTAAAATAAAATGCTTTCATTGCCTGAATGATGCTTTAAGTGGGATCTGTTTCATTGAAAGCGTTCAACTAAAAACAGACACAACTTGGTACCAAAATAAAAAACTTTCAGGCATTTTCATAATGCATCCTGATGATTTCTTAAGAGATGGTTCTGTGGGAAGTGAAAAATGTACTACTAAAAGATTTGGCTCGAAGCACAGTGGTAGAGTTCTTCTCAGCTAGGAGGCCTGGGTTCAAGTTCCATCTGCTTTGGAGGTGTGGAATAACACTGCTTAACAGGATGATTAGAAATACCTGCCAATCTTAACATTTTTAGTCAGGCTTTGGGGCATTTCAAATATATTGTTTCAGAAATTGAGCAGAATAGGTCGAGCAATTTTGATTCAGCAATCCTATTCTGAGAGTACTACTCTTTTTCAAGGTTGATTATGTTAGTTCATCATAAAACAAACATAAGTTTTGAAGCTTGAATGGTCTTTTGAATTGGTTATATACTCACTCAAGACTAGATACCATTTTGATACATATTGGGATATGTACAATATCCCCATACTCTGTAATAGGTTTTGTATAGTCCACACCTCCGTCGCTTTATAATAGTCATCTTTCGCTTACACACCAGTGAGCCTCTCCGCCCTCTCCCACCTCTGTGTTAAGCCTCTAGCCACCCGCTGCTCTGTCACGGGCCTCCTCTGCCCAACCCCAACCTCCCGTTCCGTCGTAGGCCTCCTCGTTCTTCTTCTCCGCCCCCCCCCCCCCCCCCCCTCCCCTCCCTCCCCTCACCCCCCACCGCCCCAGCGCCTTCTCTTTCTCTCCCTCTTTCCCCTGCCCCCAATTATTGCGCCTCTTCCTTGCAGGATCGATGGCTCTCGCGCTGCCTTTCGAATTCTGACGACCAGGCGCGAGTCTAACTGTCGCCCGAGGCGGTACTCTCAGTTCCGGCCAAGTCCTCCTTGAGCGGTCCGTGTGCTTCGGTATTCTATCACTGTGAAAAACCCGATCCCTCACCAAATCAGTCATAATGTGGAAAATACCAGTTTACTTCCCGAGCAACTTCAGCTTCAAAGTAACTGCGGAGGGCGGCATCTACAGATTACATCGCTGTCAAATCTAGAAATTTTAAAATTGCGCCTAATAATATAATTTATCGTGCAACGCTCATAACACACAACTATCTGGAAAATGTTCATCAAATGCCAATTTTGGGACAAAAAAAAAACACCCCAGGCTCTCAGCACCGTTTTGAAATCGCTTTTTTCCCCTTGAAGAAAGTGCCGCTGGATAGCCTAGACTGTGAGTCACAAGCGGAGAGAGACTTTTGGAATCAAGATTCAGACAAATCTAGGAGACTAGTGCATTGAAAGAAAATTGGAGCCATTGCCTATACCAAAATGTTTGGTTGATACAGACAGTTTCGAAGTAAACTTGATCATTACCTGTATAAACCAAGCAAAGGAATTACTCGACATCGATTTACGAGGGGTCACCTACCAGCTTTATTGAAGGAAGTGGTAATCTGAGTGCACTTTGGAAAGCCCACGTGACATGGTTGTACTTACAAAAAGTTTCTCATTAAGTTGTACCCAAAAACTGGAAGGGTGTTTCATGCAATATACTTTAATGGCTCTACTTCGAAAGTGAAAGTAACCTACAGCATAGGTCACATGTCTATGATAAGCCGCAAGTGTACCAGTGCAGAAGTGCATTTCTTCAAACATCCCTATTTTCGTTAGAAAATGCAATCATTTGCAGTTGTAAGTTATCCTACATATTGGGAATAACTATTGAAAACGTTTGTTAATTCTCGTCTAATCCACTCTTATTAGTATCTGCACAGGCATTGCACACGCAATCATGCAGATCTTCTGATGTTATGTGTGCACATTGTTTTTGGCTGTTTGTGTGGAATCTGGCCATTCCTGGATTTATGTTCCATCTGTAGGGAGTGTCATTCTGATGACTGAGTTGACCTGGTAATTGTTGGTGCTTATCCGTTGCCTTGCTGGAGAACAGTGGACCGCTGGGGCAGATGGTCATTCTATATTCTGTGCAGTTGATGACATCTGTCTTTCTCATCGGCTGTCTACAGTAAAGGAGAAACTTCATCAGTTATACATATATGTCTACAAGTTGCAGTGATATAGCTGGTCATTCAAATTCACCAGGTATGCTTGAGATGACAGGTGCTCACAGAGGTCCTAAGTTGCCATTTGGGTTAACTTTTCTTGAGAAAATTGCATGTTTGCATTCTAACTGGCTGTCCAGTGCTCAGCTTTGGTAATATTTTATCAGTTTTTATGAAGTGAAGTCTCTCTCAGTATATGTGGAGTGAATTCAGCTTACATTAATGTTTTGGATATAAATGCAACTGCTTGTCCTTGCTGCATAAGGATTGCTCCAAATCTTGTCTTCTGCTACATCACACTGTAACTGTGTTCATTGTTGACACTGTTGTACTTTAGCACTGGCATTGTCATTACTAATTGATTGTAAGATGAAGAGCTTCTTGTTCTGTGTTCCAATGCGACTGCACATCCTTAACAAAGAACTATGTAGAGGTACTCACATTGATGACAAATAAAGCAGAAACTTAGCTCACAAATTGTTGCACCACTTTCGTGCCTGATGGTCATTGCTCCTCTGGTAGAGTTCTCACTTTGTCAGGATCCAGGTGAAGTCTTTTTGCTGTTATAGAGTCATACAGCACGGAAACAGACCCTTCATTCTAAACAGTCAATGCTGAACATCATATCAAACTAAACTAGTCCCACCTGCCTGCTGCTGGCCCATATCCCTCCAAACCTTTCCTATTCATATATCCATCCAAATGTCTTTTTAAACGTTGTAATTGTACCCGCATCCACCACTTCCTCAGGAACTTCATTCCACAAGTCAGCCACCCTCTATGTAAAACTGTTTGCCTCTTATGTCTTTTTAAAATCTCTCTCCTCTCACCTTAAAAATGTGCCTTCTAATCTTGAAATTCCCCATCTTAGGGAAAAGACAACTACCATCAGCTTTATCAATACCTCTCATTATTTTAGAGACTTCTATCAGGTCACTTCCCAAACTCTTATGCTCCAGTGAAAAAAGTTCCAGCCTATCCAGTCTTTCCTTTTAACTGAAACCTTCCATACCCGGCAACATCCTGGTAAATCTCTCCTGAATCCTCTCCAGCTTGATAATATCCTTCCTATAACTGGGTGACCAGAACTGGACACAGTAATCCAAAAGTGGCCTCAGCAGTGTCTTGTACAACCACAACATAACGTCCCAATTCCTATACTAAAGGACTGAGCAATAAAGGCAAGCATGCTAAACGCCTTTTTAACCACCCTGTCTATATGTGAAGCAAACTTTAAAGTATATACCTGCACCCCTAGGTTCCTCTGTTCTACAACACTAACTAAGACCCCACCATTAATTGTATAAATCCACCCTTGTTTGTTATACCAAAATACAATACCTCGCATTTATCCAGATTGAACTTCATCTGCCATTTTACTGCCCATTGACCCATTTCATCAAGATCCCTTTGTATTCTTAGAAAACCTTCTTGACTATCTACAATGCCACCAAATTTGGTGTCATCTGCAAACTTACTGACCATGTCTTCTATAGTCTCATCCAAATCGTTTATATAAATGACAAACAAAAGAGGACCCAGAACCGATCACTGTGGACCACTGCAAGTCTCAGGCCTCCAGCTGAAAAGCAACCCTTCACCATTACTCTCTGACTCCTGCCATTAAGCCAATTATGTATCAAACAGGCAAGCTCTCCCTGAATGCCATGTGACCTAACTTTACTAATTAGTCTCCTATGCAGAACCTTGTCCAGGGCTTTACTAAAATCCAAATAAACAATGTCTACTGCTCTGCCATCATCAACCTTCTTGGTAGCTTCCTCAAAAAACTCACACATAATTTTCCTCAGACAAAACTATGCTGACTATCCCTAATCATTTTTTGCCCCTCTAAATACCCATAAATCCTATCTTTTATAATTACCTCCAACAATTTACCCACAACTGAAGTCAGACTCAACAGATCTATAGTTCCTTGGTTTCTCCCTACAACCACTCTTAAACAAAGGTACAACATTAGCCACCCTCCAGTCATCAGGCACCTTACCCGTAGTTATAGATGATGCAAATATTTCTGCAAGGTGTCTTGTAATTTTCTCCCTTACTTCCTCCAATATTCTGGGATACATTCCCAGAGGTTTATCCACCTTTATATTCTCTAAGACCTCCCAAAATTCCTCTTCTGTAATGTGAACTGTTTTTAAACATCAAAGTTTACTTCTCTGCATTCTCTAGACTCTATTTCTTCCTCCACAGTAAAAACTGACATGAAATATTCACTAGACTGCACCTCCTCTCACTCACCTTCCTGCAAGAATGCGATCCCCTACTCCCAATTCCTCCACCTCCGCCACATCTGCTTCCAAGGTGAGGCGTTCCACTCCCGAACATCCCAGATGCCCTTGTATTTCAAGGACCGCAACTTCCCCCTTCAGTGGCCAAAAACGCTCTCGACCACATCTATTGCGTTTCCAGCACCTCTGCCCTCACACCCCCTCCCTGCAACAAAAAGAAAGATAGAATCCCCGTTGTCCTCACGTAACACCCCACTAACCTCCGAATTCAATGGATCATTCTCCGCCACTTCTGCCACCTGCAATCTGACCCCACAATGAAGGATATATTTCCCTCCCCACCCCTATCTGCCTTCCGTAGGGACCACTCTCTCCACGACTCCCTTGTCCACTCTACACTCCCCACTAGCCCCACCACCTCTGGCACCTTTCTCTGCAACTGCAGGAAGTGCTTTACTTGCCCCTACACCTGCCCCCTCACCTCCATCCCAGAACTCAAAAAAACCTTCCGCATCAGACAGTTGTTCACCTGCACATCCGCTAATGTGGTCTTTTGCATCCGCTGCTACCAATGTGGCCTCCTCTACATTGGTGAGACCAAGCGGAGGCTCGGAGACCACTTTGTAGAGCACCTGTGCTCGGTTCGCAACAAACGACAACACCTTCCAGTCGCGAACCACTTCAACTCCCCCTCCTACTACCTGGACGACATGTCCATCCTGGGCCTCCTCCAGTGACACAATGACGCCACCCGGAAACTGGAGGAGCAGCACCTCATGTTCCACCTTGGGAGCCTACAACTGAATGGTCTCAATGTGGACTTTACTAGCTTCAAAATCTCCCCATCCCTAGCCTCATCCAACAACCAACCCTCCCTCTCATCCCCTCCTCCTTGACGTGTCCATCTTCTCTCCCACCTATCCACTCCTCCCACCTCACTGATCAATCCCCACCACTGTCTACCTGCACTCACCTATCACCATCTCACCTACCTTCCCCAGCCCCTCTCACCCCCACCTTCTTGACCTGTCCATCTTCTCTCCTACCTATCTCCCTCTCATCCCCGCCTCCTTGACCTGTCCATCTTCTCTCCCACCTATCCGCTCCTTCCACCTTACTGACCAATCCCCACCACTGCCTACCTGCACTCACCTATCAACATCCCAACTACCTTCCCCAGCCCCACTCCTCCTCTCTCTATTTATTTCAGAGCCCCCTTCCCCCTCCCCCATTTCTGAAGAGGGTCCAGACCCGAAATGTCAGCTTTGCTGATGCTGTGATGCTGCCTGGCCTGCTGTGTTCCACCAGCTCCACACTGTGATATCTATAAAATATTCATTTAGTATTTCTCCCATCTCTTGGGGTTCAAGATGACATCCTTGATCTTTAAGAGGCCCAACTCTCTCTCCAGTTACCTTCTTGCTCTTAATGTATTTGTAGAATCTCTGGATTATCCTTAACCTTATCTGCCAATGCTATCTCATATCCCCTCTTTGCCTTCCTGATTTCTCTCTTAAGAATGCCTTTATACTCTTTGCATTGATTAAGAGATTCAATTGAACCAATATATCTAAAATAAGATTCTCTTTTATTCTTGACTAGAACCTCAATATCTTTATTCATCCATTGTTCCTTAATCTTACCAGCCTTACCCTTCACTATAACAGGAGCAAAATGCCTCTGAACACTCGGCATCACGTTCTTGATTGCCTCCCACTTGTCAGATGTCCTTTTACCTGCGAACAGTCTACTCCAATCAACTTTTGAAAGTTTTTGTGTCAAAAAATTAAAATTTGCCTTACTCCAATTAAATCTGTAACTTTTATGAAAGGCTTATCCTTTTCCATAACCATTTTGAAACTAATAGAATTATGATCGCTAGACTCAAAGTATTCCCCCACTTTTACTTCAGTCATCTGCCTTGCCTCATTGCCCAAAAAAGGTCTAGTTTTGCTCCCTTTCTGGTAGGAACATCCACATATTGGGAAAGAAAATTTTCTTGAGCACATTTGACAAAATCTTCACCATCCAAACCTTTAACACTATGGTAGTCCCAGTCAATGTTTGGAAAATTAAAATCCCCCATTATTGCGACATTATATGCTTACTTACATCTGAGATTTCCCTATATATTTGTTTCTCAATTTCTCTCTTACAGTTGGGGCCCTGTAGTACAAACCCATCAATGTGATCTTTCCTTTTTTATTTGTAATTTCTACCCATATATTTTCACTGGACAATTTTTCAGAAAAATCTTCCCTAGTTACAGTAGTAATGTATTCCTTAATCAAAAACACCACCCCCTTCCTTTCTTGCCTCCTTTTCTATCCTTCCTATAGCATCTAAAACAGAGAACATTGAGCTGCCAGTCTTGCCATCTCTCAGCCAAGTTTCTGTAATGACTATGGTGTTCCAATCCCATGTTCTTAAACATGCCATGAGTTCATCAGTCTTACCTGTAAGACCCCTTGCTTTGGAATAAATGCAATTTAGTTATTTAGAGTTACTATATACTCTGACTCTCCTGTCTTTCTTTTCCAATTGATGTGCTCTCCTTACATTCAGAATCTACCTACCCCATCAATCCTTCCATTTACATTGCTACTTAGAATTCCTTCACTTGCCTTCCCTATCAGTATAAAGTCTCCCTTAACAGAATAAGCAAATCTTCCTGCTAGGATATTGGTCCCTTTCCAGTTTAGGTTAGAACCATTCTTTCTGAATAGGTGTTTTCTTGCCCAAAAGACATTCCAATTGTCCAAAAACCTGAATCCCTGAAAAATACATCAGCCCTTCAGCCTTTCCTCATTTGAGTTTGTTGTATGTTGTACATGACATGTGTTTTTTCATCTTTTTCTTCTTCTGCATCACATTCATCTGGTCGTTCTCTTTAGTAGTTTTACCAAATTCTGTTTGTGGTTTTGCTGGCTTCTTCCATCATGTTTGCAGATTTGTAGACTGTCAAATCATCAATGATAGTTTCCACACTGGAAAGATCACTGGTGATCTGTGCTAATTCTCTTCCAGAGCCATGGAAATGTCAAATGGCATTCTCAACCATCTGGATCTCAAAATTGGCATCCAGAATGTAATTAGAGATATTTTCTTATCAACCTGTTCAGACATGTTATTACACACATCTGGAGCAGGTGGGACTTAAACCCAGGCTTCTCAGTTCAAGGGTAAGGACACTACCTCTGTACCAGAAGAGGGCCCCAGAATGTTGT